TCTTTAAAATTATGAGATGAAACTTTTATATGACATGTATACTTAAATATAAAATTACTATAAAATTTGCAAAAATAATTAGACTCTTCACAGATTAAACCACCTAACGGACCTAACGGACTGACTGCCCATCCCTACCTAATAAAAGGAATCCTCAGAGTAAATGCTTGCTCCTTTTATTTCTGTGATGTTATTCACATTTAAGTCTCCAAGGATTTTGCCCAATTTGGGCTTCTTAGTCTGTGAGCTCCGAGGAGTCAGAGACAAAGGTAGACAACAAATGTTTCCTGAATGAATGAATGAATTAATGATCTAGGCTCATTTTGCACAGAAAAGCACATAGACATATGCCACCTGTCAATATCATTTAATAAATGCTTTTCTGACTGTCATAGTGGTCAAGATAAACAGACTTTGGATGTAGGGGCCTATATGGAGAATTCACAGTGGTAGAGATAACATAGGATTTTGAAAAAGAAGACTTCTCCAAGTCCTACCTCATTGATGTGGTTAGAAATTCACTTTTCCAATATTCGTTTTCTCTAATGTAAAAGCAGAAAATAACAAGAGGATCCCCAAACTCTGTGGTCCTCGTACTTTATACTAATAAAGAAGGATGGAAGAGGGAAGATAGCTCTTCCACATGCAGCCACAAACTGGAGATGGAGAAAGACCCTACACTGATCCAAGTTGGGACTGATTATCTGGCAGGGGCACAAAGTTTAAACAATGTTAGTTGAGAAAACTGCGAGGTCAGAAACATCTGTTTCCAGCCAGCCTCACATTTTCTGTCAGGGCCTTTTTCTTCCGCTGGCTGGCTCTACTCAAGTGCTGGGTGCCAAGTGTCATCCCTGCTGTGAGGGCCTGAGGGTCTTGTGAAAAGATATCTTTTTTCCCACTTAAGGCTCATGAATATAGGCTCAACATTCTAACCTTTCTCAAGGAGTTATTTCATGTAAGAGGTAACCTCTTACAAATGAGAAGCCTCCTGCACCTGAAAGAATAGTCCCCCAGAACTCAAGTGCATTGATTGGGCATGATGATTTTGAGAGGGAGAGCCCTCCTGACTCTTCTCCAATCAAGTCTCCTAACAGACTGACCACCCATCCAGCCTGTGGACCACCCTAGGCGAGCACAAGACGTGTTAGTGAAGGAATGACATCATTGCTTCTGGACTCCTGTCCTCCTTGAAGTTAATCACATTCATTGTTCTGCAGCTCAGCACCCTGAGCCTCGCTTGTCTTTCTTTTCCTCTTGCTTCTTGTCCAACTTTGCCCCCAAAACAGTCTGATGCTCATCCAGGGTGCAGAGAGCACTTGATGCTGCTGCCACTGGCCCCTGTCACTCCTTGTCAACTCCAATCACCCTCATTTTACTTCCTCTCCACAGTCCATTAACAGCAGCTCTCAGAATCCTGGGTGGTTACCTGTAGTCCCTGACCCTTGGCCTCAGGTGTCATGTAGCAAGAGAGTGACTCTTGATGGAAAAGAATGAGCAAACTTCAGCCTCTCTTCATGCCCTTTCACCTTCTAAGGAGACAATTCTTGAAAGGGTGGAAAATCCTGAGAAATTTTATACATATATATTTTTAAGTTAATTCTGCAGACTGCTGTGTTGGTGACATTTCCTTCAAACTGCAATAACTAACCTGTCACAGCCCTACAAATGCTGACAATACAGCACCATGTGGGGTTGACTTAATAAACCTCATTTACATTCATTTTGATTCACTCAGGCGTTGAAAAACATTTCACAGGAAAAACTAGGAACCTCTCCAAGACGACATGATGTTTGCTGATATGATATGAACAGACTTAATAGGCAGCATATATGAAAACATGCATTTCTTAGATTATTAGCAAACTCAGTACTTTATTTTTCTAAAAGCATTTAAAAATTATTCCTTTGAATGCTGGGCTTCTAAGCCGTGAAATGTGTCAACTTTTACAGAGTCTTTCTGTTGAGTATGTAGAGAAGAACATACTCAACTCTCTTCTTTCAGCTGTGAACTTGGGAAAAATTTTAACCTCTTTGTATCGTAGTTGCTTCAGCTTAAAAATACCTGTTTACCTAAGTGTATCATACTTGCAATGGTGCTGCATGATAAACATTCCCCTAACAGTAACTTACACTTAGAGGCATTTATTTATCATTTGTAGGTACTTGTGGTTCTACTGGCCTTAGATACGATCAGTCACATGTAGCTCCAGGCTGTGGGTTGGATTTAGGTCTGCTTTACATGTCTTCTCATTCTCCTTGGATCAGCAGCTACATGGAGCATGTTCCTCTGAAGTGGATGGAGAAAGCAGGAGAGCCAAAACAAATCACAAATGCACATAGAGGTGCCTCTACTTATGTCATGTTTGTTTACATTGCATTGAACAACATAAGTCACATGGCCAAGCCCAATGTCAATGGGCGTGAGGATGAATTCTCCCTCTACTCTAATGGAAAGCACTTCGAGGTCACAAGAAAAAAGGAAGGAGTAAAGAATTGGGAACACCTACCATACCACCTCACATAGACATTTTTTAAAAGGAGATGATGGCTGGGTGCGGTGGCTTATGCCTGTAATCCCAGCACTTTGGGAGGCTTAAGTGGGTGGATCATCTGAGGTCAGGAGTTCAAGACCAACCAGGTCAACATGGTGAAACCCCATCTCTACAAAAATGTAAGAACTAGCCAGGCATGATGGTGGGTGCCTGTAATCCCAACTACTTGGGAGGCTGAGGTAGTCGAATCGCTTGAACCCAGGAGGTGGAGATTGCAGTGATCCGAGACAGCACCATTGCACTGCAGCCTGGGCAATGGAGTGAGACTCTGTCTCAAAAAAAAAAAAAAAAAAAAAAGGGCCTCCCCCCCCCCAAAAAAAAAAAAAAAAAAAAAAAAAAAAAAAGGGAGATGATGTATTTATTTCAGAGCTCTGTAAATTGCAAAGTATTATGCAAATATTAGGTCTTGTGTGAAAGTTCTACACAAGAATGCTTTCTCCTAATGTGATTATTCTCTGGTTACCTTATGTCTTTGCATGCCATCTTCCTAGCCACCCAGACTTGACACTGTGTCATCCTGTTTCATCCTCCCTTTCCCTCATCTGCCATCTTATATCAAAACTGGGGAGTCTATCCAGAGATGATACCTTATCAGCCTTCTCCCCTTCGTTTTTTCTGCGTCTTATCTCTCATCTCCTCTGTCTTGCCTCACCCCAAAGTCTTCTTGCTTTAGTCAGTTCTCAACACCACTATTAGGATTGTTTCCTTATGTGGCTTTCATTGTGCCATGTCTCCGCCTCAGGTTGGGTTTCCTAGAGGCAGAGGTTGAGACAGCGATTCTTGTACAAGTGATTTACTGAGGAAGTGCTCTCAGGAGAAGCCTCTCAGGAGAAGCCACTCAGGGAATGAGGGAAGCAGATCACAGGGGAAGAAGGTAGGCACAGATGTGGCTGCAGGAAGTGTCTAGCCTCAGCCTAATTGCATAGAGAGCTCTGGCGCATTAATTGCACCAAAGAGGTTGTTCCATCCAGAGGCAGGAAGACAGCCTATTTATTACTTTTCAGTCCATCACTGTTCACAAACCATCCCTTCCAGAAGCACAGAAAATCCTCTGCAGGAGAGTCTGGTATAAGCCATCTGCAGTCATTACCTACTTCACCTCAGGGAAGGGTGCACTGGCCTGGTAAAGGGGCTTCCTGTGAGGCACCAACGGCATTTGCTACCCTCTCCTATCGAAAGTGTTTGACAATTCCTCATTGTCCTCAGATTAAAGTTTCAGTTCTTTGATTTGTCATTTAAGTCCCTCTGTAATGTTACTTTCCTTTTCTTTATTTTTTGAGACAGAGTCTCACTCTGTCACGCAGGCTGGAGTGCAATGGCATGATCTCTGCTCACTGCAGCCTCCACCTCCTGGGTTCAAGCGATTCTCCTGTCTCAACCTCCCATTTTTAAGCTACTTCTTTATCTTAATTTTTACTGCTGTATTCCATGGAGCTTCAGCTCTAGCTAAACCCAATCTCTCACTCTTCTGGCCTCTGAGCCTTTAATTATGCTACTTCCCCATCTGAAATGCACTTTCCACTCCTTCCTATACTTCCTCACTTTTGACATCTCACCAGAACTGCCACTTTCTCTAAGAAGTTCAGGAAGAGAAAATAGAAAATGAAGAGAGAGACATCATTAAAGAAATAATACAAGAGAAGTTCCCAGGAAGGAAGCATGTGCCATTCCAGAGTGTATGGATCTACCAAGTGCTCAATTATATCTAATATGGTGAAATGTTAGAACACTTGGAATGAAGAGAAGCTCCCAAGATAGAGAGGTTACACACAAAGATTTGGAAGTCAGAAAGCAGGAAATAGCAATAGCAAAAATATCTTAACAATTATGAAATTAAATACCCAACACAACTATCAAATCTTAGACATTCACATTCTAAAAAACAAACAACAACCCCCAAATGAACAAATAAAAATCCCAGTTCCACAGAAGGCCACAAGAAGATGCAACTGACCAAAACAAGGAATTAGAAAAAAATGGCATCTAGTAAGCTGGGAATCCAGCAGAGTATAGGAACAAATAGAATTCACAGAATGATGTTAAGGGGATGTCTGGCTTACTACTGGCCTACACATGTGAGGAATAAAATGATTCGATGCAGGAAGAACAGCCCCGATAGAACAGGCAGAACAATTTCTGGAACCCACACAGGGCTACAAATAACTTAAACCCTTCCAGCCATTTTCTATATTGTTGCTTTTTGGTTCTACTTTCTGGGAAGTTTTCTCAAGTTTAGTTCCAACACTTCAGTTAATTTTTAAAATTTCTACAATTATATTTTAAATGTATAAAATCTCTTTGTTGTTCTCTGAATATTCCTTTTCATGTCTTCTCTTTCTCTGTCTTAATTAATCTCGTCTAAGACTTCTATATTGTTTAACCTTTTCAAACAGTCATCTTGGTTTGTTAATTTTCTCTCTTTCATTTATTACTTTCCTCATGTGGCAGTTCAAGTTCAAACTTGAACACTTGTACAAAGACTCCTTGGATGATCTGCTTGTGCTATTGGAGCATTTCCTCCTTGCTGGCTGACACAATGGCAAGCTTTGTCAGTGAAGAGTGCCGAAGAGACACTGCAAGAGGAAGGGGCTTCTCTCCCAGTTCCAGGGTAAGTTTCTTCCCGCTGGCTTATGTGTCACTCAGCTGTTGTACAGGACCCTCAGTGAAGCTCACCCCCAGCAAGTTTTGGTGGCACTTCTGTAGGCACTTTACCTGTGAGTTGTGTAGATACTCCTTTTTCCTTCCTTTCATGTGATGAGTTCAGCAGCAGCCCCCACAGGTGGCTTCCAGGACACTATTGGGAACATTCCAGTGAGAAAAGTCTTGCCTACCATGCATGGCCACTGGCACTCTGGTGTGAGTTTTCCTGCTTGCCACTTCTCTCCTGCACATCCCTGACCACCAATTTGCACAGTAACTGTGGACCCACCTCTGGCTCAGGGCAACCCAGCAAACTTCCCACTTTTGGATAGTGGGTTGTATCCAAATCTCTTCAACAAGGTCTGAATTTCACATCTGAGATCTTGGGTGATAGCTAATTGATCAAGATGTTCTGCAGAATGAAATCGATGGGCAGCTGCTTAGAATATTTTTTAATCTATATAGCAGAAAATTTTGGCCAAAAACTTGACTCACATAATCAGTTTCCGAACCTAAGTCAATGCACAGACCCAGGGGCTCTTGAGTGAATGGCACACTTGAGAAGGGACCTTGTTGCATTTTCACAAGTAGGCACTGTAAATCTTCTTCCAAGCCTAATCCAAGAAGATCCCAAATCTTCTTCCAAGCTAATACTATGCAAAATCTATATAAATAGTTGCTATACTGTATGTCTAGGGAATAATGACAAGAGGAAAAGTCTGTTTATGTTCAGCACAATTTTTTTCTGGATAGTTTTGATCTGTGGTTGGTTGAATACATGGATGCAGAACCCACGGATGGTGAGGACTGATTGTACTCAGAAACTCGTAGTATCCTCATGTTGGCTCTTGGACCCATTGGATAGAGGCCATCATGGTTGGAAAGGCTAAATGAAAAACCCTTGGAACTTCTCCTCCCTACCAATAATAAATCAGAGGCAATATTGCATCTTTAGGGGACATTTCAGAGATTTATACCATCATCCAAGCACTGAAAGCAACTGGAGTGGTGGTACCTATTGCATTCCTATTTAATTCACCTGTTTGGCCCATGCAGCAGTTGGATGGGTTCTGGAGAATGTGGACTGTCATAAACTGGTTCAGGTGGCCCAAATGCAGCTGTTGTGTCTTTACTGGAGCAAATCAGCAAAACTGCTGGCATTTGGTTTGTAGGAATTGATGTGGCTCATGCTATTTTTTCTCCATACAAATTTGAAGGGACCACCAGTCACAGTTTGCTTTTACCCAGCAGTGCCAATAGTATATCTTCACAGTGTGGCCTCAGAGCTGTATCAATTCTCCTGCTCTCTGCCACAGATAGTCTGCAAAGTTCTTGATTATCTTGGCATTCCACAAAACGTCACATTGTTCATTGATGGCAGTATGCTGACTAGATCTTGGGCAAGAAACTAGAAAGTATTTTATTTTTAAAATTCATTTAGTATTTCCTTAAAATTCTTTTTAATATATTAATTTTAGTTTTGATTCAGGGAGTACATGTGCTTCAAGGGTATATTGTGTGATGCTGAGGTTTGGGTTTCTACTGATCCTGTCGCCCAGATAGTGAACATAGTACTCAAGAGGAAGTTTTTCAGCCCTTGCCATCCACTCTCCCTCCCTTCTTTTGGAGTCCCCAGTGTCTGTTGTTTCCATCTTTATGTCTGTGTGTACCCAGGGTTTAGTTCCCACTTACAAGTGAGAACATTTGTATCTGTTTTTTTTTTCGTTGTTGTTGTTGTTACTGGATTAATTCATTTAGGATAGTGTTCTCCAGCTATATCCATGTAGCCTCAAAGGACATGATTTCATTTTCTTTTACGGCTGCATAGTATTCCATGGTGTATATGTACCCTGTTTTCTTTATCCAACCTACCGTTGATGGGTACTAAGTATTTTAGATGCCTCAGCAAGTCATATGCAAACTATAGGTTGGTTTAGCAGCACACTCATGGGCAGCATCTTTGCATGTTTTGTCTTTATCTCAGTGGCAAGTTTCCTACCAGACAGCCTCAGTTTTCTTGCCCCTTCATGAGGAATTTTCTGCTTGACAATCTGGACCTGTGGTTCTGTGCCTGACAACCCTGGCCTGCCAGATTGGGACAAGCTCTGGTCTAGGGAAACCCAGAGAACTCTAGCATCGAGTGGACTGCTATCTCTCCACTCTAAGGAGGTCTGAATCCCAGCTTTGTGGAGGAGCCCCTTCCATTCCTGTTGCTTCCTTGGGTACTCTTCCTCAGACCTGAAGCATTCTTTAGAGGTCTCCTTATCCCCACCATAATAGGTAATTCCTCGCAAAAAGCTAATAATTACCTTTAGTAAACATACCTTGTTCAAACTACTTGGTTTTCTGTTTCTCCTGACTATACCATGATTAATACACTTACTTTTATTACTTTCTTTCTTGTTTTTCTTTGGATTTAATCCACTCCTTATTTCTAATTAATTTTTAATCATTGGCTTACTTGTTTTTTATCTTTCTTGTTTCCTAATAAATGTATTCAAATTTGTAAATTTCCTTCCCAAAACTATTAGTTTTGTATCATAAATTTCACATGATTTTCTTCTTATTTAGCTCTAAATAGCACTTATTTTATTTATTATATCAATTTTTCAACTCAATAATTATTTAGTAATATACTACTTCATTTCCAAAAATTTAAAGTTTTAAGAAAGATTGCTTGGTCATTGATATCAAATTTTACTGTATGATGGTTTAAAAGCTTAGTTGATATAAGACTGATTTTATAAAATTGATTTGGTTTCTTTTATGACCCAATATACGATTTAGATTTATAAATGTTCTGGGGGCACTTGCAGAGTTCTGTAAGTGCTGAAACATTGTTTTGTTGTTCAAATCTTTTACATTTCCATTCATTTATTTTGTCTCCTTGATCTATTTGTTTCTGGGAAGAGCCTGTTGAAATCTTCAATTGGTATTTTTGATTTACCTTTTTCTCCCTCTAATATATGTCAGTTGTTGCTTAGGTCAATATTTTGAGACTGTATTGTTAGGGGTGTTTATGTTCAAAATAGTTAGCATATGATATCTTACTTTAACCCTTAGGATTTTCTGTTTCAATATTAAATTCAACTTTTTCTGGTCTTAATAGTGTTAATCCAGTTTTTTGGGGGGCTTATGTTTTTGGAGTATTTTTTTTTCAATTTTTACATTTTTAACCTTTCCATTCTTTTAGTTCTAAGTATATTTCTTGTAGACACTATGTTGCTAGATCTCTTTTGAAACCCAGTCTGAAACTTAATATTTAGATTGGTGAATTTAACCCATTTAAACTTACAGTAGCGCCTATTATGTTAGGATTTATCACATCTTATTTCATATTTCCTGTTTGCTCTGCTGAACTCTTCCACCACTTCTCCTGCTTTCAATTCAATGTCTTTCATCTTTCTTTAATTTTAGAAAATATATCTTTATTTTAAATTTTGTATTATAAAATATAGTATACATAAGTATGAATTTATGAAAAACATGCACCCACAGTTTGAATACAATTTTTAAAAAACTTACCCAGAGACCCACTACCAGGATCATAAAACAGAATGTCACCAACTACTCAGAAGCACCCTGGGTGCATTTCTCTGTCACATCCCACTCGCTGTTCTCCTGCAAATGAGCATCGTCTTAAAATTTTGTTTTTTGGTTTCAGTTTTTTACCACCTAATAGGTATTCCTCAACAACATATTATTTAGTTTTGCTTGATTTTGACCTTGATATGAATGGAATATTCTTTTCTTTACAATATCTGTGTATTTAGAGCACTGTGTGTTTGAGGTCTATCCATGTCAATAATTAAATCTATATTTCATTTATTTTCATTGCTGTATATGTGAGTGTATGATTATACCACAATTTACTTATTCATTGCATTGTCTATAGATATTTGGTTTTCTCCCGGAGTTTTCCTATGAAGGATAGTGCTGCCATAAGCATTATTTTACATATCTTTTGGTGCATGTGTTTGAGAATTTTTCTAAGGTAAATGCCTAGTGGTGGAATTGCTAGGATGTAGATTATGTGTGTATTTAACTTTAGTTTGGCATGTTTAATGCCAAAGTATTTCCCCCAGGTTGAACCAGGTTATATCTCACCGACAGTTCCTATTGCTTTGAGTTTCTATTGCTTTGCATTGCGGTAACACTTGGCACTTTGAGAATACTAAATTTGGTTCACATCTTTATTATTGCTTCAAAAATTTATTTTCTAACTGGCCACTGTGGCTCATGCCTATAATCCCAGCACTTTGGAGGCCAAGGCAGGCGGATCACAAGGTCAGGAGTTCAAGACCAGCCTGGCCAACATGGTGAAATCCCGTCTCTACTAAAAATGCAAAATTAGCCACATGTGGTGGCACACACCTGTAGTCCCAGCTACTCGGGAGGCTGAGGCAGGAGAATCGCTTGTACCCAGGACACGGAGGTTGCAGTGAGCCGAGATTGTGCCATGCACTTCAGCTTGGGTGACAGAGTGAAACTCCGTCTTAAAAAAGAAAAAAAAAGGAGAGAGAGAGAATTCAAAAATTTATTTATTTTCTTCCTGTGCTATCCTCTCATTCCTATTTACAGTATTGACCCTTCTTTTTGACAAGTTTCTTAACTTTAAAAAATCGTTTTCCATTTCCTGCTCCTTTCAGGAAAAGCTCTTCTGTTACATCTTACAACTCCTTAATTCTTTTTTTTTTTTTCTGTATCCATCATGTAAATTGCTGCATATATTTGATTCTTTATTTCCATTATCATCTATAATATTTCCACTTGGTTCTTTCTTTCTGATTTCTTGTTCTTGTTTCACAATGCTTATATCATCCCTTGTATCTTTAAGTATTTGGTAAGCCTATTTAAAATTCTTGATCTGCTTACTCTAATCATTTGGCTTTAGATGGTAGACATTTTTTATTTAGTTGCCTTTCTTTTGAGTGGTTGTACTCCTCGAGTGCTTATTCTGGCATGCAG